GGAGCATGTGCAAAGGTACAACGTACAAAGCTACAGCTCTGAACTGGACTCTCCATGACCACATATGACCGCTTAGCTTGCTACAGCAATGCTCTGCAAGGACAGGAAGTCGCATCCGTACTGGGTACCTCCCCCGTCGCAAGTAGGCTGCGTGCGTGCCAGGTATGCGCCCAAAAGTCGACAAGCTCGAAGCCGATGCTTCATCATGGACAGCTTACCTCCCTCCCCTCAAGACATCCCTTAGTGAGCGTGGATGCTTGGTTTCCTGAATTGGGAGTGTTATGGCGCATGTCTCACTAGGCACTCGCGAAGCACTTGCTAAGCACTTGCTGAAGCACTCCCTAAGCGTTCGGTAGGCTTTACATAAGCACTCGGCAGACACTCGATCGCCCGAGCGGTTGCCGAGGCCTTGCTGACTGTAGAGAGCATGCTGAGTGTCGAGGGCTTGCTGAGTGCTATCAAAGAGTTCACCGGCCCTTAATGGGGGGGGGAGGGGGGGTGTAGCGGCGGGGGGCGAAAGCTGTCCATGACTTTGCACCGGCTCAATGGCAAGAGTGTTGTCTGTTCCATGCGTTGCGGCTTCCCCGCGAACGCTTTCAGCCTACTGTGCACCGGCACGCGCGGGACTGGAACGATCTTAATGATTTGTCTGCGACGGAGTGATGGGAACATCAGCAGATTCCGGGATTTCACCGGACCTTGCCGGGGTCGAGAGAAACTGCGCCCTTCAGTATCTACCTACCACTCTCAGTGACCTCCCTTGGCGTGGCTGCCGCTTTGCGCTGAGAACTCCTCGCGCGTGTGTAGCCAAGACCGCTCCTTCGAGTGCAAGCCATCGAGCTGAGGGTGCCACTTTCCGAGACTGCCAGCCATGGAGCTTTGGCAAGTCGGAAACCGGTACTCAAGTATGCATCGTTGCGTTGCCTCTATGAGCTTTGTAAGCAGGTGACCAGGACCTGCAATTTGAGCCCCCCAAGGTTGCACGGACAGGCGCGCCTCGCCGCACTCAACGATGCCTGTTCGGCTGCGAGCTCGGCAGGCAAACAGGTTGATCTCCAAGGCTCTAAAGGGGTCGTATCATGTAGAGTCACGTCGTGACTTGCTAGCCAGGGACTCCACCCAGTCGTGGCTGTGCAGCTCTTTTCAAGTTGCTTCACCTCGTGCCCTACAGAGAAGGCTCGAGTTGTAGTGCCCGGCGGTCTGTTTAGCAGAGGGTGTCTGTCCTTGCGTTTCCTGGTTTCAAGAACCGTCACTATCTCAAGACCTATTCGGACCTTCGAACCCTTGTAGCCCCACAGTACTTCGGCAGCTTAACATAATTCCGACGTTTCGGAACAGTTCCCAACTGTTTGGGGCAGTTTCTGCCCAGACCCTGAGAACACTCTGACAGCTCCTGCGAGTTGCCTGATGCTTCCAAAGCCCCTGTTGTCTCTCACACACAACAAGCCACCGGGCATTCCAAGGAAAGGGGATGTCCAAGCAGCGCGCTGGGACGTCGATGCCTTCAAGCCCCGATCCCGGAACAACCCTCTGAAAACACGAGCCCGAACAAACGTGTTTTCTCGTCTGACTCTGAGCTCAGAGAGGCAAGACTTACTTGATGCAACCTCACCTGGAGCCTGGGGGGTTTTTGCGAGCAAAATCCCTAGCGAGGGAAGTGGCGACACCGCGCTGCAAAAAGGTGGCCGACCCCTTTCTGACTAGGTGCGCGACTCCAACGCGCCCCAGGGCTTCTGATTCCTGATGGTTCCTGGCTCCGTCATTTAGTCCGCGGTTCCGGTCTCCCGTCATTTAGTCCGCGGTTCCGGTCTCCCGTGCCGCAATGACCCTGCCCATTCTGGCTTAGGACAGCCGAAGGCAGCGAAGTTGAGCAGGTGATGGAAGATGCACCTCTGCACAAACCTGTACGCAGGCACATGTTACCCAACTACCTACACAAAGACCATCAGGGCTTGGTGCAGATGCCAAGGCTGGGCCTAGGGGCCCGCGGTGGGCATTCCGTGGGCCAAAGAGCCGCCGGTGTTCAGGGCCGCCCTGGAGCGTGACGCTAAGCGCAAGTTTCCAGCGAGGATTCTTGAGATCGCTCCGAGGCCCAGAAGGAAAGTGTCCCCGACACTTCATCCACATCTTGAGCCCAGCGAGCCCCGTACCAAATGTATGGCCGATTCTGGCGGCGGAGCTCCAAAGGTGACCGCGGAAAAGAGCCGCCAGCTTTGTAGTTGGGGCCCCAAGGCGTGGAATCCTCTCCTCATTCTAAAGGTGTTGATCTCACAGCAGCCTGACCATGGTATTAAGTTCTTCCATTACTGTAAGGTATAGGAAGAGCGGAATCGACATGAAGCTTGGGTGTCTCTTGTATGTTGCAGGATGGTAGGGGGCGCGGTGGGGGAGGGGGGGCGGGGCGAATATGCGCTTGTGGAGCCCTCAAGAAAGACGCACAACTTGCTCGACTTCACATACGTCTTCTTAAGCTGGAAGCGAATCCTGCTCAGTTGAAGTTTAGTCACATAAGCGCTTAGAATCTCGTGATAGCTTTGGCAATGAACCTCATGTGAGAGCCAGACCGATGGACCCATGAAGCATGAAGCTTGTCCGCAGAAGCTCCATGGCTCGAGATGGTCGGAAACCCCGCCGCCGCACACGACATTGTATGAACTTCTTCTGTTCCTTGGGCGAATTACCCTCGGATGATTCGGAGAGCGTCGGGGCCATCGCGGTTTCGGAGTGAAGCAGAAAGTACGGAGACAGGGGCGAGGTTTGTTGAAGGGACACGGGGCATCTCTCAAATCAAGTAGGGGGTACCGGGGTACCCCTTAAGATATCTCCCAAGTTCACTTCCAAGAAACGATACGCAAGAAAAAATCGGAACCCCCCCCACCCACGCAACTCTTTTGACATGCGCAATGACGGTGTTTTCCGGAGCTTTCATGAAGCCTGGTAGCTTATCATTGTCATCATTGGCCCCGATCTTTACAAGGCGCAGCCTGCGCCGGATCTCTATGAATTGCATAGCTGAGGTGCAAGCAAACTAGCTCCGACTGAGCCAGCGTAACGCTGGACTGTCTCTTCCAATCCCAGATCTTTGTTTGGGGCATGTCTATTGGCTGCAGAACCCCGAACCTTGAAACCCAAGCAAGCAACGATACAAGGGTTCGTGCCCATGAACTGCTTTGCGCATGGCGCCCGAGGTATCGAACCGTTCCAACTATGAGCATGTCAGATGTGCTTCGCTCGCTGCTGTCCTGGTGCTTGATTTGCTTCAGCAGATGCGACGTCTGTGAGGAAGACGCTTGGTTTTGATTGCGACTGCCCTGACTCAGCCCCCCAAATCCCTCTTTCACCCAATGAGTTTACAGCCGGGCTCTTTCGACCTTGGAACCCGCCTGAGTGGCAAAAGCTAAACCCAAAGCCCCAAACCCTAAACCCCCTAAAACCCTAAACCCTAAACCCTAAACCCTAAAGTCTGGACCCTGAACCCTAAACCCTAAACCCTAAATTCTAAACCCTCTCTATCACGTACTAACTCAAACTTCGATGACTTCGCTCTTTTTCGTGGTTCAGGGGCTTTCAAGGCCAATTCAAGGCCTACTGTTCGTGGTTCAAGGCCACTTTTTCGTGGTTAAAGGCAAGGCTGACAATTCGTGGCTCAAGGCCAAAAACTCCTGGTTCAAAGCCACTCCTTCATGGTTCAAGGACCAGTCCTTCGTGGTTCAAGGCAAGTCCTGGGTTGGCCTTGAAGAATGCACCGTGGTTCAAGGCGACTTTTTGGCCTTGAACCACTTGGCCTTGAACTTCAGAACCAATTCTTCGTGGTTCAAGGCCGAGTGTTGAAGAAGGAGACAACCAAGCATTGAGACGAGACGCACCAGTTAAGCAGGCCCGCATTGATCATTGAAACGAGACGCACCAACAAGCGAGACAACGCAGTGAATTAGACGCACCAAGAGGCAAGACAACTTTGAGACGAAACGCAGCAACAAGCAAGACAACCACACCTACATGGCTCCATCAGCACGACGACTAAATTGTACGTTCAGCCGACAAGCCAGACAACCAAGCATCGAGACGAGACGGGTGGCGAGGGCATTGTCAAGATCGCAAGTTTGAGGCCATGAAGGAAAGCTAAGACAGCAAGGGCTAGGTCTCGGTTGATGTTCGAGGGGCGGGGATAGACTGGCGGAGGCCGAGAGTAGACTTAGCCTTGAAAGGTACAGCCAAAACAACCTTGGTAGCTGAGTGGTACCCTTTTGCCCTTTTTTGGGTTATGGGTTCCCTTCTCAAACTACTTAACACCAAAAAAGGGTACCCTCATTATAATGTGGTTACTGGGCTACCAAGCAACAGGGTATGAGCTATGAGCAACTTGAAGCTGTAGAACTTTGTTGCGTGATTGGAGTCATTGTAAACGCTTGCGCGTGCCGCCTCGGCAGCCGGGCCGGCCCCAGGAAAGGAAGAGAGGGTTTCTGCAAAAAAAGGGGAGGAAGGGCCCAGGTCCACCGGGGGGCGTGGGGGGGGTCGGGGGGGCTTGCCACGGTCAATGGCCACGGCTTTTTTGCCAATGGCATGGCCACGGCCCCCATTCAGGTTGGTGGTCAGTATGGGTTTTTTCGTTCCAAATCGTACCATATTTGCCCCCAACCTTAGTGGGGACCGTGGCCATTGGCAAAAAAGCCGTGGCCATTAGCAAGCTTGCCAGTGGCCACGGCGCGGAGGCCCTTCCAAGGCCGAAAGGGCGTCTTCTGGCTCAGACCCCCATTCTGGGCTCGAAGCCCTGGGTCTGGGGCAGATGAGGGCTTCGACACCTCACCCAGCCCCTTATTCTTTCTCATCTTGAGTGGTTCGAGGGTGGGGTGGGGCAAACAAAAACATGAGGTTAACAAAATTAGGTCTTGTTTTGGTCAATCCGGACCCAATGTCTAGTTGGCTCTACGGTAGGTTGGGGAGTGGCTCGAAGTAGTGAAAAGAGGCAAGCACTCGAATTGCAGTCTGAAATCACACTCATGCGGGCCATCCGTCACTTTGTTTCGGAGAGCGTTTCGGGCCTGTTGGTCACGGTCTGTTGGGAAAAAACAAGAAACATGAGGTTAACAAAATTAGGTTTGTTGTTTTTTTTGGCTGGACGTGCCCGAGAGCAAGAAACATGAGGTTAACAAAATCTTTTTTTTGGCCAGTTCGTGCCCGGTACCAGGGTGGGGTGTGCGAGGGTGGGGTGGGGGAAAACTAGGAAGGTGAGGTTAACAAAATCTGGGTTGTTATTTGTTTAGTTGTTCGTGCCCGCAAGCACAACAATGAGGACAGAGTGAGGTTGGGGGACACTGCTTGCTGATGAAGAACATAAGCTTTATGTTGCTTGTCGTTTTGGGATTTTTGAGGTCGAAAGAGTGGCTTTACCAGAGATTGCTGCTGAACCCTAAACCCTCAAGCGCAAACCTCAAGCCTACAGCCTAAACCCCCAACAGGCCCCAACAAACTCCAAACAGGCGCCCCTTAGTCCATGAAGCTCAGTCTCACAACGGCTAGGAAGCAAGGAAGGGTTCTCCCGAGGGTTCCAAGAAATCATTGATCTCAACACCCGGGCCCTCCCGCCCCCCAGCCCAACGTGAAAGAAATTCCATAGTAGCAGAGGTGCCACCACTTTTCTTGCAGACTCGCCTCCAGCTGACGTCGCCGGCGCTTCCCACTCTCAGAGACTCGCCATTGTCGCAGACGTATGAGCTTCCCTTTCAACCCCAAACAATGCTCCCCCCCAAATTCCTAAACCCTCAAACCCTCACTGTACTGTAACCCCAATTATGACCATGTTAGGGCACTTGTGGGGCTTATAAGTGGGAAGTACAGATATACTTGCTTAAGAAGTACCCTAAAACCCTCAATACCCCTTCCACCCAAGCCATCCCGGCCTGCAGAATTCTCTCTGTGGGAAGAAGTACTCGTAGTCTTCCCTCAGAATTCCTATAGACATAGACTCTAAGAACCCCCCCCCCCCAAAACCCTAAACCCTAAACCCTAAACCCTAAACCCTAAACCCTAAACCCTAAACCCCAAACCCCACAAACCGCAACTCAGGACCGGTGGGCCGAAGCTACTTCTCCACGGATCCCCAGAACTCGGCGGCCTGGTGGCTGAGGCTCCCAGTTCTCAAAAAGAAGTCCGGTTGAAGCAGCAGCGGGGGGGGGGCCTAAACCCTAAACCCTAAACCCTAAACCCTAAACCCTAAGCCCTAAACCCTAAACCCGAAACCCGAAACCCGAAACCCGAAACCCGAAACCCTAAACCCTAAACCCTAAACCCTAAACCCTAAAGGGGGGGGGAAATAGGAGTTTTTTGCTCCTCCCAAGAATCGCTGCTTAAAGCCGGCCGTTCGGCCGCCGCCTAGAATCCAGGCTGCCTTGGTGAACCTCGGCTTGCCCCCTCAAGTGGTGATTGCTTAAGAACCCCGGAAAAATGTTCTTCCTTTATTAAGGGCAATATAGGGATGATGATGATGATGATTGTTTTTGTATTCTTTTGGGGTTCTTAGGAAATAGTAGTCAAGTGATGATTGCAAGTGTTATTGTTTTTGTCATGTTTCTTGCTAGTATGGGTTCCATACCACCAGTACATCTTTGAAGGAAAAGGCGCAAACATGAGATTGGGGGCGTGCCGGGTTCGCACTTTCTCGGATCACAATACCGTGGGTACGAAGTGAGCGCACCTTCTCTTCGCGGGGTGCGAATGTGCATCACGCACCCTCCGAAGAGCTTCCCCCTTCACATCCCCTAAAGGACCTTTAAACAGGGTCGGACCTCCTCAAGCGCAGGTACACCACCGCCACGCCCACTGAAGACGATGGCACTGTGGGCCACGGAGTGAGCGAGGAAGCCACACTTGGGGTTTAGGCCCTACGCCCTTTTTGCCTATGAAGCCCTTCAAGCCCTCTAGCACCCTAGAAAGCGTGACGCACCCTACATAAACGCTTTGCGGGCCCGAAAGCCTAAAAAACCGGTCTTCGCGCTAAGCCGTAGTTAAAACCCGGCACCCTAGACATCCCTAGACCTTGGAAAATCTGAATCCCCAAAGCCAACCCTAAACCCTAAACCCCAAACCCTAACCCCTAAACCCTAAGCCCCCCAAACTCTGTGCCAGGCGGCCGTTGCCGTTCAGGTGCAGAACCCCTTGGGCCACGAGGTCCAGAGGCCCCTCTGGCCCCATCCAGTAGTTCCGGGTTTTTTTGGGGGGGGGTTTGCGGTTTTGGAAAATTTTTTGGGGGGGGGGGGGGTGGGGTCGAGCTTTTCGCAGGCTAAGTTGGGGTTTCTCGGACTTGGCCGCAACTCCAGCCTGAAAGGGAAGACTCGCTTGTTTCCCAGCGTTTTGGGCGCCCTCCGGGTGTCGTCGGGGTGTTCGGGGGGGAGGGGGGGGGGGGTCCGTTCCGGAAGCGCTGGAGGTGCTCGATTTAGGGTTTAGGGTCTAGGGTGTCGGAGCTACGACCTTTTCACGACCTAATGTTGGTCAAGGGGGAGGTTGGGCACATTCTCAACTTGAAAGGCGGGAAATCATTTCGGAGTCCCTTGCCTTGGCCGCAGCTCCGAACGCCCCTCAGAGGGTGTGAGCTGAACATCAAAAACCAAAAAAACATCCAACAAAAAGAGGGAAGGAGCCGAGGCCAATAACTCTATCAGCTCCCAGCTCTTGGACACGGATGAGCAGGGTTTTTTGTGCTCTCTCTCTTGGCTCTTTCATTCCATCAGTCAACGTTTCCTGGGCTTTCTCAAATCGAAAATGGCCCGTCAACTGACCCGGAATCTTAAGCTCCCAAACCCCAAAAGCGCCAACCCTGAACCCTCAAGGCTCTATTTCCTCAGCGCTCCCGACTGGCGGAGCACAGTGAACACCAGCATGCGGGACTTCGTGCATGCGGCAGCGATCTCCTGGGACACTGTCATGATGCGGAGGCCAAATTGCCTAAACCCTAAGCCCTAAGCCCTAAGCCCTAAGCCCTAAGCCCTAAGCCCTAAGCCCTAAGCCCTAAGCCCTAAGCCCTAAGCCCTAAGCCCTAAGCCCTAAGCCCTAAGCCCTAAGCCCTAAGCCCTAAGCCAAAGAGACTTGCAGATGCCAAACTCCTTGGTGCCGTTGATCCGGAATACATTCATTGAGTTTCTGGTTTTCGTCCTCGACCCTCTGATGTGTGCGTGTTCTGAGTATTCTGGACTCTGAGCCCCGAACTCTTGGTGCTCCCAAACCAGAAGCCCGGGACTTGCACCTTGCACCAGCGAGTAGCTCAAGCCCCCAAGGCAGCAGTATGAGCCGTGGACAGACTTCCACGACGGCTTCCTCATGAACACCCTTCGGCTTGATGAGCTGGCGGGGAGTTTAAGCCTCGGAGCCTACCTTGGCCCGCAACCTCCCAAGCTGCCGTGTGAAGGTCTCATGTAGGGTGTCGGGCTTCGAGGTGCTAGGGTGTGACGGGGGGGCGACTTATTCTACTCGGGGCCAACGTTCTTTCTGGACTCCTTTGAGTGAGGTGGGAGGCGTAAGGCTTTTGGGCTTAGGGCGCTTGCGTGGGTTTTGGCGCCATGCCGGATGCCATCCAAGCATGTCGCGAAACAACAAAAGCATGATGCAATGCCCCGAATAACCCTTGTAACTTGACCTACTCCTTGCTACAGGAAACCGCCCCAAAAGGGCACAACCCCCTCCCCTTAAGGTAACCGCCGTAAAAGTGATCCCCTGCACCCCGAAACCAAGGCAAACTGGGGGCCCCCCAACAAATGCGTTTAAGATTCCCCCACCACCCCTTGGCTTTCCCGGAAGGCTCAACAGCGCCACCCTCTTCAGCTGTACGACAGATGCAAGGTTGCACGAACCTATATCCCGAACACCACGTACACGAGCGAGTGGACGCCTGGTTGCACTGACTTCGTAGTGCGGAAGCCTCATGCCGCAACCTCAACAACCCTGCCTACTCTGACACAGCAACCCAAGCGCCAACGGACTTGGGCCGGGGCAATCGTGCGCAGCCGCACAAGTGCGAACGGACAGCCTTCCCCTCCCTCGCAACTTCTCCCTTTTGTTTCTTCAGCCCTCATGGTTCCTGTTACATCTGTTGGGCGGTTGCTGTTACCAGGTGTGCGTGCGTGTGTGTGTGTGTGTATATGTGTGTGTGTGTGTGTGTGTGTGTGTGTGTGTGTGTGTGTGTGTGTGTGTGTGTGTGTGTGTGTGTGTGTGTGTGTGTGTGTGTGTGTGTGTGTGTGTGTGTGTGTGTGTGTGTGTGTGTGTGTGTGTGTGTGTGTGTGTGTGTGTGTGTGTGTGTGTGTGTGTGTGTGTGTGTGTGTGTGTGTGTGTGTGTGTGTGTGTGTGTGTGTGTGTGTGTGTGTGTGTGTGTGTGTGTGTGTGTGTGTGTGTGTGTGTGTGTGGGTGTGTGTGGGTGTGTGTGTGTGTGTGTGTGTGTGTGTGTGTGTGTGTGTGTGTGTGTGTGGTGTGTGTGTGTGTGTGTGTGTGTGTGTGTGTGTGTGTGTGTGTGTGTGTGTGTGTGTGTGTGTGTGAATGTGTGTTGTCTGTGTGTGTGTGTGTGTGTGTTGGGTGTGTGTGTGTGTGTGTGCTGCGTGTGTGGTGTGTGGGTGTGTGTGTGGTGTGTGTGTGTGTGTGTGTGTGTGTGTGTGTGGCCTGCGTGGCCCTGCTCCCCGGGCCTGCCCTCTTATGTGGGTTGCCCATTTGCTTGTTTCCAGAAGATCGACAGCGGGCCCCAGAACCCAAGATGCGCTACCCAGATCTTCCTCTCTTCGGTCCCATAAGAGTAGCTTGGAAGGTTGGGGTTTAGGGTTCGAGGGGCGCCTAGACCCCTCAAACCCCCTTGGACCCCCAAAAAGCCTCCTAAACCTTCTGAAGCCCGACACCTCCTCGTGTGGGTTTTGTCCTTTGCAAGGTTGAGAAGATCCACGAAGGACTGCAAAGTCTCGGGGGGGGGGGGGGGATCCTAGAGGGATGACCGAAAGCCGCCCTAAGACCTAGAACCCTGAACCCTGCACTGTACCCTAAACTTGCCCTAAACCCTCAGTCCCCCGCAGGAGAACGACCCCGGCTGTGGGCTCCTGCAGACCTCCGCGCCCCAGTGCCTGGGCTTTCAGAGCCTGCAGACCTGCCCACCCCAAGACCGCCCGCTTACAACTCTCACAGAGTTCGCAACATGTGCTCTTGATGCACGGGGGTCTAAACAGACACTCAGACTCGGGATGCCTGCCTCGGGACACTTGCGTCACGTCCACTGGTGTGAGCCTTCTTAGGCACTTGGCGTAGGTCATTTTGTGACACTGAAGACATACGTTGGTGTCACTTGGGAAGTTTGGGGCACATGTGGGGTCGGACGTGAAGGTCACTTGGGCACTTGGGTCACTCAACTTACTTTGTGATCTGCAAGAAACTTGTGCGGGGCACTTGGCCCACTTCACAGAGGCCTCGCAGGTTTTGTTTCTGCAGCCCCTTGACTTGCTGGTCAATGACGAGAGAGGGGCGCGGACAGGTGGGCTCAGCAACTTGGGACGGATCAACTGTGCGGACAGCGGGCTCGGTTAGCCCCAAACACCACCAGGGGCCCAAAACCCCCATAGGAGCCTCCCAGGGGCCGCCTAAGGGCTTTGATTTGCTGATCAATGCCAGTGACGAGTGTTAAGGGACAACCAGGTGGGTGGCCACTTGGAACGGGTCAACTGCGCGGACAGGTGGGCTAAGGCGTCAGTGCCAGTGAAGCGTAAGGGACCAATTGTCCGGACAGATAGTCAGGCGTTTGGCCGCGGACAGATGGGGTCAGTGGTCATTTCGGGCTTGCTCTACCAAGGAAGGGGCCTCCCAGAAACCTGCCAGGGCCCCGGCCTCCAGGAACCCCCAGCAACCTCCCAAGGCTTGGAGGGTCTCCCTGAGCGCTCGACCAGCGCCCACCTACCCCAAAAGACAAGGGAGTGGTGTGGCTGGTTTAGGCTTTAGGGTTTCGGGTTTGGGGTTTAGGGTTCAGGGTTCAGGGTTTAGGGTTTAGGGTTCAGGGTTCAGGGTTTAGGGTTTAGGGTTTAAGGTTTAGGTGGAAGGCTTGGGGCCTCGGAGTTCATGTGCTGCGAACATTCGGGCTCATCCCTCGATCCCAACTCACCCTACATGCCGCACTCTTTCAGCCCTAAACCCTGCAACTTTAGCTCCTAAACCATCCTAAACCATCCTACATCTAAACCCTAAACCCTAAACCCCAAACCCTATAAATGAGCCCTAACTCCTAAACCCAAAACCCTCTTAGACCCCCCCAACTCCGAAAAAACTCTTTCAGCCACCGAAACTCGCCCAAACCCCCTGCGCCCCTTGAACAGTGCCACCTGTTTGCTTGTGCCGTTGAAGCCCTAAATTTAAGAGCCTCCGGCTCAAGCCGCCGACCCCGCTGGAGCATAGTTGAGACCCGCTCGCATGGAAGATCATCCCCGGCAGAGTTCTGTGAATCGTTTGGGGGGGGGTAGGGGGTAGCACCAGGACAAGCTCAAGCCAAAAAGACAGGTGGGTGGGGGTGGGGGGGGGAGGGGGGGGGGGCAGGGGGGTGGGGGGTGGGGGTGGGGGGGGGGGGGGGGGGGGGGGGGGGGGGGGGTGGGGGGGGGGGGGTTGGGGGGGGGGGGGGGTGGGGGTGGTGGGGGGGGGTGGGGGGGGGGTGGGGGGGGGGGGTGGGGGGTGGGGGGGGGGGGGGGGGGGGGGGGGGGGGGGGGGGGGGGGGGGGAAAACGCTGATTTTGCTGAGGGCGCCCCTACCCCCCCGTGCTGAACCCCCTGTTTACGCTGTGCGGGTGGCGCGGTCCTCCACGAAAAAATTGTGCACCGACCCCCCCCCCCCCCCCCTCCCCCCGGGAAAGTTTTCCCATCCAACACTAAACCCTAAACCCTAAACCCGAAACCCGAAACCCTCAACCCTAAACCCCAAGCCCTAAACCCTAAACCCTAAGCCCTAAACCCCAAACCCTCCAAACCCTCCAAGCCCTAAACCCCAAACCCTAAACCCTAAACCCCAAACCCTAAACCCTAAACCACCAGGTACCTGGAAGAGTCTCGATACGATGACCCGGATGCCTGCCGCGACAACTCCGACTTCGAGCAGCCGGTGCGCACCCTTTGGAAGGCCCCCCAGGACTTTAGGAGTTTTAGGGTTTAGGGTTTAGGGTTTAGGGGGATGAGGCAGGTTTAGGGTTGCGGGTTTAGGGTTTCGGGTTTCAGGGTTTCAGGGTTTCAGGGTTTCAGGGTTTAGGGTTTGCAGCTTTGCAGAGGGTAGTATTTTCCTCCTTCTGAACGAAGGTGCATCCAGAAAGCCCCCGACCCTGAACCACAGGTTTCAGGATTGAGGGGGGTTAAGCCCTAAAACTCCAGCCGTCAACCCCAGACCCTCAACCCCAATGGGCCAATGGGTTGAGGGTTGCAAGGTTGACGAGGTTCATTGGGTCATTCATTTTTGTGGGCTTCCGTGGGCCTGCCAGATTCTTCCTAAACCCTTAACCCTAAACCCTAAACCCTGAACCCTGAACCCTGAACCCTGAACCCTAAACCCTAAACCTAGGGCTTCTAGGGTGGCAGGCAACCTTTGCGGTGCTGGATGCTGGCGCCGCCCGGGACTTTGCAATCCACGTGCTGGGGGGCTCCCGCATTCCGGAGCCTTCGGGCGGAGGGGGGGGGGGGGGGGGGGGAGCTGTTTTTAGGGTGTTAGGGTTTCAGGGTGTTAAGGTTGTGGTAGGGTGGGGTTTTAAAGGGTTTTGTACTTCACATGTAACTTCACGCATTTTAAACGTTCACTGTCAGGACTGAATGACAGCTCAATGTCAAGTCAAAATGTCGCAAAACGAGTCCAGGACGACCCTGAACCCAAAACCCGAAACCTGCCACCACTCCTTCTCAGAACTTTTTTTTGCTCATCGCGGCGCAAAAAAGCAGTACCTGCCTGTCCCCTAGGAAGCCCTCTATTTTAACGCTGCGCGGCCCGCCTCGGCCCGGCCCAGCGCATCCGCGTGAGCATGGCTGATTCCGCAGCGCCCAAGTCGCTGCACCCCAAAGCATGAGGGTTGGGTTAGGGTTTAGGGTTCCGGGTTTATGGTTTAGGGTGCAGGGTTGAGGGTGGGTTTGGGGGTTCTCGCTTCACGGTTTGGCGAAAAGGAAAAGGAGAGGGGGGGGGGGGGGGGGGCAGGCAAGGGGCAGGGGAGGGGCAGGCGGGGCAGGGGGGGGCGTAGGGCAGGTTTTGGCCCGAGGTCGCTAATGCGAGGCCCGCCGGGGCGGCAGGAAGGGGTAGTGGGGGGGAGGGGGGGAAGGGAGGCGTCAAACAACAAGCGCTCGCACTGTTGCTTGAGGAAAGGAGAAAGCTTTGGGTGGGGGAGGGTGGGGGGGGGAGTGGTGGGCGGGGGGCGGAAGGCCGAAAACGCTGGCTCTCCTCCCTGGTCCGGGCACGTCGGCCGCGACTGGATACGTCGACTACGGGGGGTACCCATTCCGGGCCAAAAAAAACTCTGCCTCAATGTCTGCGGAGTACGCTTGTTAGTGGTTCCCTAGACTTGGATCTAAACGCCTCAGGCCTCCGACCTCGGCGGATTATATTGACAGAAGCCACCCAACATACCCACTACCAAAGCCCTCCGCCCTAAACCCTGAACTCGACCCTAGGCTCAAAAGAAACCCTACACCCTAAAACCTCAAACCTAAACCCTAAACCCCAAATCTAACTGGAAGGCCGACGGAAAGAGAGTTTTTTTGGGGGTAGAGTCGCGAAGCCATCATGATTCGGGGTCCAGGGCGCAGGGGGCAGGGGTCCCAAACCGCGAGGGCTTAGGTAAAGCATTCTGATGACAGGGTTCAGGGTTCAGGGTTCGGGGTTCGGGGCTTAGGGGTGTAGGGTTTAGGGTTTAGGGTTCAGGGTTTAGGGTTTCGGTTTCAGGGTTCAGAGTTCTTGGGTTCAGGGTTTAGGGCATCAGGAGCCGTATCCATGGCCGGCCGATCCCAACTGCATTGCGGCGCAGTGGGTCAGCTTGCCGGTATTTCAGGGCGACTTGGAGCGTCTTGCCTAAGGAAGTGCCAACACGAGTAGCTGATTATCATTTTCACTATTTTCAAAGATATAGGTATTTCCCAACATAGGGTACCCCTTTTATGCCCCAAATAGAGCAGAATCCTCTAGAAAGAGACCCCCAACCGCGTGAGCCACCCGTTGAGCTCTGCTCTTAAAGCCGCTTTGTATCTCAGTCAGCAAGGCACGCGATGGAAGCGTATGACTTTCAGTTGCACTTCGTGGAGAATCCGGTCTACAAGGCACGTTGAGGGTTGAGGATTTAGGGTTTAGGGTTTAGGGTCTGGGTTTGAGGGTTTTTGCTGCTGTTGAGTGCCGTGAACCCTGAACCCTAAACAGGGTATTGCCTTCCTGAATCAGGGTCTTCCGAGGTTCCCCCCCCCTCCCTTCACCTGGACGGCAACACTAAAAGAGAGAGCGGAACCCTAAAGTCCGAAAGCACTGTGGGCTGCCGCTGGAGCATCATCCGTGGAGGCAGTCCTTCATGACGTCCCGGAGTTTGTGAAGTACCAGAGGGAGTTCATGGAGACGCACGACGACTGCATCAACAGCTTCTTACTCAACAGCCTGCTGCTTGGCTGCAGCAGGAAGAACTCACCGAGCGCATCCCCGAGCTTCCTGAACCTTGAATTTGCGTGTCCGAGTCCCCTAAACCCTAAACCCTGAGCCCTAAACCCTAAACCCTAAACCCTAAACCCTAAACCCTAAACCCTAAACCCTAAGCCCTAAACCCTAAACCCTAAACCCTAAACCCTAAACCCCAAGCTCCAAGCCCCGATGAGTCTGACGTGGCAGCTACACTGCTCCCTTGTGTGATGTCCGTAGCGCTGAAGCGCTTGCTTGTGGCCTCCCCTCCCACTGCTCGGATACTGTCCAGGTGGCTTGGGGGGGTGGGTTTAGGGTTTAGGGTTTAGGGTTTAGGGTTTAGGGTTTAGGGTTTAGGGTTTAGGGTTTAGGGTTTAGGGTCTAGGATTCTGGGTTTAGGGGTTAAGGAATCCGAAGCCCAGAGACCTCCAGTCCTTCACCCTGAGTTGGGCTTGGGTGTTTACTAGTTCTTCATTTCGGGAGCTAGGTATCTTATGTCCTTTCCGAACCCCGTCAAGGTTTATCTTACAGGGTTTAGGGTTTAGGGTTTAGGGTTTAGGGTTTAGGGGTTGAGGGTTGAGGGTTTAGGCATGTCACAGCCTGAGCCCGAGAAGCAACCGTCACGGGCCGCAAACCTTGCAGTTGCCGAATAAGAGAGCTGGGAGATTCTTTCGGTGAGTGCGAAGGGGGGCTTCCTGAGCGTGCCTTCGAGTGTTCTCATATCTGGTGGTTTACGAGAATCGGGTTTAGGGTTTAGGGTTTAGGGTTTAGGGTTTAGGACCCCGAATATAGAGGACCCCTTATCATCAGCAACGCCGCAGGGGCGAGGGCACCACCTTGGGGGTCTCGGCTTTGTGGGGGCATAACTCCCACCATGGGGCCCCCGATCCCTGGTCAGGGGAGCCACAACTACTTGAAGGTTCATGGTACTAGCCAATGATCAGTGTACTTGAAACCCAAATTATAACCATGTTAGGGCACTTCCAGTGGCTGAAAAGTGGGTTAGAAGTACAGTTACAGTGGGACAATAAGTACCCTGAACCTCCAAGTAGCCTGCAACTAGCCACATCCCAAGCCTGCTGGTGAGGTGCGCTCTTGAATTGTGGGGTATACCGGGGTTTTGGACCGAACCCTAAACCCTAAATTTTAAAACGATAAAAACCCTAAACCCTAAACTCTAAGCCCTGAAGAGCACAGGATACTGGAGACAGAGTCTTTGGATCCTTTCGCTGCGCGCCTCGATGAGCTGGGGGCGCCATACTTCGCCTTCCAGCTGAAGGCAGTGGCTAAAAGGTCCCTAAACCCTAAACCCTAAACCCTAAACCCTAAACCCTAAACCCTAAACCCTAAACCCTAAACCCTAAACCCTAAACCCTGAACCCTGAACCCTAAACCCTAAGCCCTGGCCCCTCGAGAGAAGGGAGGAAGAAACGAGACGAACGATAATGGTCAGGGTCTGGGCAGACATGAGAAGCACCTTCGGGTGCCTAAGTTCTTCTTGTTCTTGAGGCTACCCCGTAATTTGTCCACAGGTCCAGAAGAGCCGCTTGCTTAACATACTGCATCTGTATCTGTATTGGCATTTGTATTTGTATTTGTACTTGTATTTGCATGTGTATTTGTATTTGTATCATCATACAAAACATATGTCCGTACTGCATATATATATATATATATATAGTATACATATATATATGTGTATTGATTGCATACAGATATATATCTATATATATATATATATATATGCTACCCCCCCCCAGCGACCTACCCTTTTTAGGCCTTTTTAACAAAAAAGAACAACGAAGGCCCAACAGTCGCATAGTTAATCACCGGGTAATGAAGGACAGTTATTGGGATACCCACCTCACAGACCCCGATAAGCCAGCATTGGATTAACCTACATTTAGAATCTGAAGCGGACAATGCTGTTTTTGGATGTTTAGATCTGTGGTTTTTCTATGCAAACTGTGCGTTTAATGGGCCATTAAAGTTCTGTTGAGCAATTAATGTATTTATGCAATTGTGTTTGTACGAGGCAATTCTATGCGAATTTAACTACTAGAGTAATCATTAAGCAAAGAGCCCAATTTGACTCAAGTGAATACTATTTACAGGAGCATACTCAACCAAGATACGAAATATGCACCATTCTCAACCAAAATATGGCAAAGTGTGCGTTTAAAGGGGCAAATAATGCTTTGCTGAGCAACTACTGTATTTATACAATTGTGTTTGTACTAGGCAGAGTATTATTGAAATACCATCTGAAAAGTCCGCTGAAATACCTTATGTTTACATATTCATGAAGCATTTTGTTTTTTTAAAATAATCATTCTATGCGAATTTAACTACTAGAGTAATTATTAAGCAAATAGCCCAATTGGACTCAAGTGAATACTATGTAAATGACCATGCTCAACCAACATACGAAATAAGCACCATATTCAACCAAAGTATGGCAAAGTGTGGTTTAAAGGGCAAATAATGTTTGGTGGAGCAACTAATGTATTTATACAGTTGTGTTTGTACTAGGCAAAGTATTATTGAAATACTATCTGAAAAGTCCGGATTTTGTTTTCGTTTTTTTTTTGGATTTTGGTTCTGGAATTCTTGTTTTTTCTACTGTCCCGTGTATGCGGATTTTAGTTGTATTTTAGTCTACGCTCTAGGAAATACGCTATATTGCACACCGAGTTTGCTTGCAGTGCAGCTGGGTGACTTGAGACAAGGCGAAAAAGGGTAGGTCACTGCGGGGGAGGGTACCATGTATACATATATATATATATATGTACACACACACATCGTATTTCTATTTTCGCCACAGTGCTATCCTGCAAGGCGGACCTCTACGCCTTGCTCTTCACATTTCCGGGCAATGAGGGGGTGATCCTGCAGCTGCAAGCCCCCACGCTGAGCCACGTGCAGCCCAAGCCCATGCGCTTCTGCAGCTAGTGCAATGACGGGTTTAGGGTTTAGGGTTTAGGGTTTAGGGTTTAGGGTTTGGGGCCAAGGGTGGTTTGGGGCTCAGTGCTTAGGGTTTTAAGGGTTTCTTAAAGGCCTTGAGTCTACAGCATGAGGCAGCCGACCCCCTTGCACCCAGGGATATCTCTCAGTATTTCCATAAAAGGGTTCTGTTGTTGTACCCCTTTTTCACCATGCGGGGGCAGAGCTTCCTCCTTCTTTTTGGGGGCGGGCTCTCAGGGATGCGAAGGCACGGAAGCGCTTGAGGCCGAGATCTTTCAGACGTAAGATTCGAGAGACTTGGGAGCTGCCGGCAAAATTCATCTTGCCGAGCGGAAGGGTTTAGGGTTTAGGGTTTAGGGTATAGGGTTCAGGGTTTAGGGTTCAGGGTTTAGGGTTTAGGGTTTAGGGCAAGACGGGCAAGACGATTTGCAGTGAGGCCTTCCCCCTGACACGTGCCTAAGGGCCTAAACCACTCCTAATCTTTAAACTTGAACCTTGTCTTCTCTAGCAGCCGCGTGCCAGCAAATCATCACGGCCCTCATCTGGTCCTTGCCGACACCATGCCTTCCACCGCCGCCAACGTTGCCGTGGCCGGCGTCGGTGCCTTCGCGGTAGCGGGTGCCCTGAGCGGTGCCTTCGTGGCGCCTGCGGGCCAGGTCCAGCGCAGTGAGCCCCAGGCGCAGAGGACCAACCTCCGTGCATCAGGCTATGGCTCTTCGCAGGCTGCCGGCGTTGGCGCCATGGCCGGCCTCGGTGCCGTGGCTGGCCTGGCCGCCGCGGGAGTGGCTGGCAAGCGCGCCAGCAAGGGACGCACCTCCCTCCAGGCTGTGGGCGTCGGCATCAACGGCTTCGGCCGCATCGGTCGCCAGGTGGCCCGTATCGCCATGAAGGATCCGGAGACTGACTTGAAGCTGATTAATGCAAGCTACGACGCAGACTACTTGGCCTACATGATGAAGTACGATACGATTCATGGCAAGTACGACGGAACTGTCGAGGTCGATGGCGACTCCCTGGTCATTGATGGACAGACCGTGGCGCTGTCCCACACCCGCGACCCTGCAGAGATTCCCTTCAAGGAGCACGGTGCTGAGTACGTGTGCGAGTCGACGGGCGTGTTCTTGACCACTGACAAGGTGCAGCCCCACTTGAAGGCTGGTGCCAAGAAGGTGATCTTCTCCGCTCCTGCCAAGGACGACTCGCACACCATTGTCATGGGAGTGAACGAGGACACCTATGATCCGTCCATGGAGTGCGTGTCCTGTGCCTCCTGCACCACCAACGGCCTGGCCCCAGCCGTCCGCGTCCTGCAAGAGAAGTTCGGCATCAAGCGCGGCCTCATGACCACCTGCCACGCCATGACCGCCTCGCAGCCCACAGTGGATGGCACCTCCAAGAAGGACTGGCGTGGCGGACGTGCCGGCCCGGGCAACATTATTCCCAGCTCCACCG